GGAAATGGGTGGGACGATCTGGTGCGAGAACAACTGGAAGAGTCCACGATCCGTCAGCGACTGGGAGGCCGAAGAGATTCGGCGACCCAAATATGCAGCATATCGCCACCGACGGAAACACAGGAGACCTCGCCGCCCACGACTGGTACGACGCGTCGTCGTCGGAGCTCGCTAGCGCAACTGACGGACATTTTGAGAGAATGGGGCGGCGGATCTACGAAATCGCGGCAGAAGGCTCCTTTAAACAGACGAGAGACACTCGCGGATTTGGCGAGGAGTTTACCGTGGGGCCGACAAACCACCACAGAAACCGGACCAACACCAAGTATATCTACCAGAAAAAGGCGAGAATCTAGCGCGGATTCTGGAATAAAGAGTATTGGATCAAAGTCCCGTAGAGACTCGCATCAAACCGCCATTTCCGATTTTCGTTCTGAAGTGGCAAAGTTGTGGCAGAGGCGCGAATCTAACACGGTCGCCACTGTTATCACGCCGAGCTCTGGATCTCGCCGAGGATCTGGAGAATCTAGTCGTAGCGGTAGGAGGGACTCGGTGACTCATTCCCACGGCACTTCCCGTAGAGGATCTGGAGAAAGTGGGCGTAGTGGCCGTCGAGATTCAACCACTATTGCCACACCACCTCCTCCAAAGGTGATAGGGGCTACTCATAAAAAAAGGAGAGATTCTCGCACAGTGAATGAGACGCCTTCCTACTATCGTCAAGAGCAGAGACCATCTACCTCATCAACGGCTTCCGATTCAGCTCCCGCTGGTGTTCAAACAACTGCCAGTCACATTAATCTTCCGATTAGTACTGTAACATCTCACACCATTTCCATCGGTACCGACTTCCAATGTATGCAACCTCCCACTATAATTACTTCGAGCGTTACGCCACCTGCAACTTCGCCTACTGTGCAAGCAACCACCCCAACTCATCCCCTTCTATCGACTCGCCGGGATTCTACCACCCAATGCGGCAGATTGGGGCGGCGAGACTCTCGCAGTCATGCGAGTCCCGAAAGATCCACGAACAAGTTGTCGCGTTTACAGCGTCAAAATACGACGTACGACGAGACGTGTTTACCGGGTGGAAATAGTAGAAGAGGCTCACAGCCGGGTGCGTTGAGCCCGGACGTTGATGATACCGGCCGGAAGGCGAGACGCGACAGCTTGAGTCCCGACTCGGCATCGCGCGGCCGTAGAGATTCCCGCTCGCATCTAAGCCCGGATCGCTCGGGCGAGCGCGACATTAGCCCTGTCAGACGGCACAGACGCGGCCGCTTAAGAAGGCAATCCACCAGCGTCGCCGGAAGACGTAGGAGCCATCGTTCCCCCGACTCTTCAAGCTGCTCCTCTCGCGACCCAAGCCCTTCGAATCGACCGATTCCACCGCCACCCGAACCCTATCGTCCTACAATACGAAGACAATCGACAACAGAGGAGATCTTAATTGCCAGAGGTTTCAGGCGACAATCGACGACCGAGGAAATGATTAGATGCCGGAACTTCCGACGACAAAGCTCTCAAAGCGATGACACCTCTAGGTATCGTGGAAGGCGCGACTCCTGCACTCAAATTATGGATGGTACTATTGCATCTATGACCGTGGAAACGACGAGCACCTTCTTTGATTCAAGTACGCAAACAGGTGAGTCTATTTGTACTTTCGCGATTAATTCGTCACGTTTCGCGTGAATTTGGTGGCGGTAAGTAAGTTAACCGCGGACCGATAAGGAACTTGTGCCACTTCCCGAATGTCTAAACAACCATAGTATAAAATTCATTAGTCGAATAATGCAGAAATTTAACGTGCGCGCCGGTATTTCAGTAATATTTGTGATAACACAGTTGGTAATCGATCGGGGGTGGGTCTGACGCCGCGACGCTGGTTCAGTGGCTCTGTGACGCCCGTAGCACATGCACGCCCGTGATCCACTGGTGCTTCAGAACTGATGAATTTCTGGGGTTAGCATTTGAACATTGTTAAATAGGCATTTTTGACCTTTTTAGATTCTTCTGTGTTACGCAAAAAGCTGATAGTGTGGAATTTGTGACATTGTGGCTTCTCCTCGATCATCTGTTGCTACTTCATCCATGTTTGTTTATACGTGCGCGTTTTGTACTGTAAACTGATTTTAATGTTGCTGCATCAGGTAAAATTTGCACGCTAAGTGTTAGGTGTCGCAATGTCTTTTATAAATGTTTCCCACGTACCCGTTTAGTACGCCGAGTTTCCAATGTAATTATTCTCCACAACTTCATCCATTTACAATCTTGGAGGCACTATTAATTTCATTTAAATGAAGTTATGGGTTGCTAGGTGTCTTAATGCTCTTTTGTGGTTGCCTTGGCCGTAAAGTTGTGTTTGTAAATGAGCCATAACTTTTTTAATGAATTTCTGTTACGGATGCCTTTTTCCTTTGACGAAAACGTGCGTCATAAAAACAGAAATTAATTATTTCGTACTTACCTACCTAAATCATTTAATAAAAAAAAGTTTGGAGATTTATCTCCCACAAAATTAAAGTATGATTTTAATATCAAGCTCAAGCGCCCAGGAAAATGAGACAACTCGTTGAAAAGTTCAGTCGAAAGTTAATACAATACAGCTTTTAGCGAAGCGCTTTAATCAAACTTTCATTCTTGTAAATTTCAAATTAAGAGGTGAAAAAATCACCCGCGCTCCTCCCCACGTGTGCCATAATAATTCAATTCGCATGTGAAACCATTGACGCCGCTTTGAGTACGCTTATACAACAATTTCATGTATAACTTACATAACAGTGAGAAACTGAGGAGTCTAAAACCTCAAAGCAATTCAACACCCACCGAAATTATTAAGTTCCACAGAAGGCATCACTAATTTCAATTAGTTGCAGACGTACGGTCTCCGAATTCCTTTATGTCGCTTTCATTTATGCCACTATTGAGAGAATCGGATCCAAAAAAAGAGCAATCAAATTGTATTCGGTGAATCACGACGACGGCGATGACTTTATAACGGAAACCACAAATTTTATCTTGTAACTTATTTACAAGCAGTTATCGGAATGAACATTTTAATTTCCTAGCGCGTGGAAAACGCAATCTGCATTCAACCAGGGTAGGTAGGTAATTTAGCCTGTCGTTGTAATAAATACATTGGAACGGAGTTCGAGAATTTTTAAAATCAAAGTGGATTATAAGCAGCTCCAATTCGTTCATAAATTTTAATGCCGGGGACAGGTTATTACGTTTATCGCCTTCCATTTTTTATGAAGTGTCAAGAATTCTTGCAATTCTTGTACAATGAACGTATAAATTGCCGCATGCAGCTATTTCCACTTCATTAGTAGGTATTACCAATCTGCTTTATTAGTTTGCAACCGAGGTTTTTATTCCAAGTAGTCAGAATTTCTGTTTTCAACAGAGAAAATTATTGACCACTGGAGTTTGGTTAATCGCAATGTCACTGCTAGAATTTATAAGCAACGTATTTCTTCCTAAAATGTATGCTTGAAGTTGCCCAAACGATCAACAGGTTCGTTCGCAAAAGCGCTGTAGGTACGAGTTAGAGTTTGAGTGAATTTGAAGGTGGTAGAGTCATTGTTTGGTGGGTAGTTTAGTCTGATTGAGTTAGTGGTCAGTTCCCTCGAAACCGCTGTTGATTCTTTTACGTACCAGTCCCTCCACTTGCAAGCTGCGTTTCTTATCCACAATAGAAGAGTATACAGCATCTTTTGCTTAAGGTATTTTCCGATAATCCTGACTTCGACTTTGGAAACCTGGATTATTCGACTTATGAGGAGGTAACGCCATTCATTCCCCTTGTCCATCTGATATTCACACAGATACAACAATCGATAGCGGTGTTAAACTCCAAACTCAGAGGGAAACTTATTCCATGTAAAAAAATTGACACCTCCATCAATGTAATAATTAAATTCTCACTTTGTAACAGTTTCCAACACTTGTGGTATTGTGGTATAACCCTCGAAGTTGAAATTTGTTATTTTTTATACGCACGTGAGTAAGCTGCCAATACTATTACTTTCAACAGCAACCAAATAAGGCAGAGTGGTGGTTTTTGTAGTAAATTAGAGCACATTTATTATAAAATCGGAATTTTGGCCCTTTTCGTAAAGCTTTAACTCTGACAGTGATATATAATAAGAAACCATTACACAGAACAAATAGGACACGCTTTGGAACTACCATAGGTAACTTTTCACTGTCGCGCAGTACCTACTGTAATCACTTTTCCTCCTCCTAACGAATAAAAAACACTAGGATTTTGTTAAACTTTTTTTAGCGGATTAAGGGTTGTGAGCGGATTAAAGAAAGAAAGACAGGCAATTGTGCTTGTGTAAAAAAAACGCGAGAGCATACTAGGAAGTAAATTAAGTAATTAAATCTCTTCGGATTCGTTTTCATTTTCGATATTAATTCCATCTTCTGGTTCATTTTTGCACCCATTGAATTGTAATTCACTTGTGAGGTCTTCAAAAAATTACTCTTTGATCAGTGAAAATTTTTGCAATATTAAAACAGTAGGTAATTTCGTTTCTCACATATATTTTGAAAATAGCAACGTCATGGAGACGTTATTTCGGTCTAAACACCAAAAAATATGAAGGGACATCCTGTATACGAACATAATGAACTCGTTCACACTTAAGAGTCTTCTGTACCCATTGCACCCAATGTAAATTTCCATGAGAGCGCCCGCCCTAAAAACTCAATTTGTTTAAAATAATTTTTTTAAGAACTACATATTTTATAAATTTAGAGCTTTATCTACAAAATGTTCGGACTATTTTTTTTAAGTTTATAGCCACTGAATACCGATTGTTTATGCTGTTTATGTTTTGCACCGATTATTGCGGTATTCTGTTTTATTTTTTTACTCTCGATCAAGACGATTTATGGATAAAGTAAACCGACTGTTTACTACATAAGTTACCTCTAAACATTACCCCAAAAAATGAAATCATATTTTTTGTAAATAAAGTCTGTATCTTGGCTAGGGAATGCAATACCGGGATCGCGGGATCCCGAAATACCGATCCCGCACATAAATCGAGCGGGATCCCGCGGAATTTGCGGGAGTGAGGAATTTATCGACCAAGGGGACGACTCTGTTTGCTTTGTTAATGAAACGCATAACGGAGAAGTTATTTTTAAATAATTGTTAAACTTTTTTCGTTAAAAATGTACTATGATTTTTGAGGCACTTTAGAAGTTCACATTTTTGTGCTTTACAGGTGAGGTTTTTTTGAGTTCTAAGTTAGGCTGAAGGTACTTTTTTTTAAATATTGTGATAATTAGGGATTTATTTTACTTGCAATTTATTTGTACGACCAGATTAGTAAGATTATTAAAAGAGAGAAAACTAAGTAATTTAAGATTTTTAATATTTTTAACTATCGGCCTCCTGATTGTGGGGTAATACGTCCAAACAAGCTTTGTAAGCGTTTCGTTCTTTCAGAAATTTTGTTTTAATTTTTCATTTCATGTGTTTTGGAATAAATGTTTGTCATTGTCAATCAATTAATTTTGTGTTTATTCGAATCCTTTGTACGATCCGGATAGAGTTTTCATGTCAGATTTTCCTTCTCGTATTCAAGAATTGTGTCAGGTATTTATAGTTTATAGTAGATGCCGGAAGTGTACGAGGAGAGAAAGTAAAAATAAAAAAGTTTCAATTTTGATTTGCTTGAGCTAGCTGAGAGTTATTATCATGCTTTAAAGAAAGCCAGAAAATGTTTATTATTTCCGAAGGTGTGTCAGAAAAACTGAAGTTTGTCGATTTCGTTTTTATTTTTGCCTGATGATTATTGAACCGATACAAAAAAAACAAAAAACACTTCCTTTTTCCACTTCTCGAGCTTTGAGGGATTTTCAATACAACGTTTCGTGTCGGAGAAATCATCATTAACTTTATTTTTTTATATGGCAGTAGCATTTTTGATTAGACACATTACACACAAAAAAAGTTGGCTTTCAACAGGGTGGGTGCACCCGTGCTCGACGCCCGACTCTTTAATTGCGCAACTTTTCCATAATTTGGTCATCGTAGTATCTTCTATGGTTTCGCAGATCCCAATGATGGACATCCTTATCTTAGACACAGTATACCCAATTTCAATTTCAAGCGGATATGCCCAAATAGCTCTGTGAATTTTGAATATATATATTCACCCGCAAATCCAGTTGGCTTTAGTTGGTACCCCCACTTCCGACGTTCCGTTCGCTCGAAATTCGCTTTGGAACTTTTGGCCCCATCACCGGATAGATCTCGTCAAAGACGTTCCTTTACCGGTACTCAAATTGCATTTTCAATTTTACCCGCCATCGGATAGATCTGGTGGAATTTCATTAAAATCGATTCATAAATGACCAAGAAGTCAAAAAGGCATTGTAAATTTTGAATCTATCAAACCCAAATTTTGGCAATATACTTATCGTATGGTGTTGGGTTATGCATATTTTGACATTCGTGCAATTCGGTGCATAAGTAACGGAAATGTCAAAAGGGCAGTGTTTATTTTTTTGATGATATGACCGTTTCTCAAAATTTGATAAACAATCCATCTGCAAAATTTAATCGTGAAAAAATCGAAAGATTGGGAAAAGCATAGGTAACCATCTCGTTCACATACAAATAGAATAGTGGCATTGCGCATTTTTGGTATCTAGAACGCCTTGTGACTGGT